CGGTGCGTTCTACATAGTCTCCCTGAACACAAGACCAAGTTGCGACAACGAGGTCAACCCACTTGTATACATAGGCAAATTTAAAAAGGTATGCGAAAAACCACAGCTACAAACAAGAGTGCCTATGCAATACCTAAGTGACTACTTTGTATTTTGGTCGCATGGTAAAGAAAATTTGAATGAATTCCTCAACTTTATGAAAGAATGAAATTCACAATGGAGGTGAGCGACTATTTTTCTTGGAGGTTGAGGGCATTCTCTCCAACGGGATACTCAAGAGGGAACTATTCAGAAATAAATCACATGAGGAAATTGTCTTCAATTTTCACTCTCATCGAACTGCAGACCAAAGATCGGAATAATGAGGAGTTTGATCATCAGTAGCTTAAATGTAACAGACAATGACTTCTGGAACGAGGAGTTAGACAAAATGACTCGGATTTGCTTCAATAACGGGTACCTTGGAAAAGCTACAGAAATAAATATAGGGGCAATAAAGAGCATATTTCAATTTGGATTGTATGGAAATAGAATAACGAATCGGAAGAAGCACGATAGATGCAGGTGAGACTAAAGATAGTCGGACAACAGTAATCGTGATGTTGCAGTACCCTAAATTTCGTTAAGACGCGAGTGGAAGGGATTCTTAAGTTACCCTCACCGGAAGATGTAGAGGGATTTCCTTGGAGCTGCGATTGGAGATTTGAGCGAATAGTTCCTTGGCAAACGGATGAATATTACTCAGATTTCGTCCATTATGTGACGAATATCGTAAGAGCAGGACACCAGGCTTAACGATAATTCACCAAAATAGGAACACAGGAAAGGCTGCCGGCTGCAATCTCACCAACTTTTTATAGCCTAGCCATGTTCATTTAGTGAGATATCTAATGATTTAATTGGATATCCTATGCTTTTCCTATATGATATTAAAGTGAAGCGGCAACAGATAAAGGGTGAAACGAATGCTACTTTGACCGAACTGCATCATCCCCTATTTGTGATCCTGTAATGGACCCACAAACCTTTGCAGTCCTATGTATGAATCGACAGGTCTCCCCTACATTGACGCTACCACATTAACAAAAAACCTTAAGGCAGCCCGATTTGGAGAGTGGATCCGAAATTTCCCGACATGCATTATTGAGGATAGTGTTGCTTTCTCCATAAACATTGTCCTGATGTTCAAATTACTCAATAATAAACAAATATTTGCCTATAGCTCACACGACAGTAACATTGGGATTATAGTCGAATGGTCCAGCTGCCTATCTTGCCCCAAATACATGCGAAAATCAATCCTATTCGTTATTATTTTAAAGCAATTCTCATTTAATCCTGATGAGCAATTATTTTTAATTAAAATTTAACTTAATCGCCTTAATTCCCGCTACTGTTGGTTAAGATCTGCAAGACGCAGGTTAATTATTATCATGAATCTCGTAACTCCTACTATCACGCCATAAATATGGTTTAAAAGAAACCTAGATTTGTGCGACCAAGACTGCGATAAAAAATGCCACACCATCTTGGTCTTCATATCTACCACATTTGCGGGTTTTCTATACACATTTCTAGACAGTCTGTTTCCCTCTTTGTAAAATAAGAAATCTAGAAAGGGTAGATTATCATATTCTTCTAGTTCCAAGCTGAACTTGACAGTCCCGTTGATTTTATTCATTAAGGTTAGGAATTCTCCTAGGCTTTTTTGTCATATTTAAATACGGCAGAGTAGTCACCCATCTACCTAACCTATCATTAAGGAACTATGAGAGATTCTTGTACAGACGACTTTCTAATTGAGCCATGTAGTAATTTGCTAAAATTGAGAACAGACATTATCCCATATCTATGTATCGTGTTTTTTCATGCAATATACAATTGAAAATAAAATATGTACGGGTCATCGCCCAAGTTGGCAGCTACATTATTGAATCCTTAGCTAAATTTTCATTTATCAGAATATGGGGTTTCGGCCCAAAGTTAATTCTAGAGCCTGAGTATCTATACTTACATCGATTCTACATCAAAACTAACTAGCGAATTCACACGTTCTATCTTCTGTTTATAAACTAACTGAACAAATTAATGAGTTATTCATTGAAAAAAAAACAGTAGCTATGTTTAAAAGTTGCTTGACCTTGCTTTGGTAGCTTGGTCATATTGGTACGAAGATCTAGAGAAATACACCTAATCCTGTGTCCCTAGTATGACCGTGGACGTAGTACATTCCCGGACGTTTAGCCGGCATCGTCAGCGGGCCTTGCCATTCTTAGCACCACATTACAACCCATCAAGGACAATTGGTCAAAGGATCGATTCGCTTGTCTCTTTGACGAGTTGTAGTGTGGTGCTAAGTATGGCAATGCTTACTGGCGATGCCGGCGAAGCGTCTAGGAATGTACCACGTCCACGGTCCGACTGGTAATTATCATGCATACTATGAACTCTGGACTAGGTCTGTTCCTCCAAATCTTCCTAACAATATAACCGAGTTGAGAAAAGAAGGTCAAACAACTTCTATACAACGAAAGGAGAATGCGACCAATAAAAATCTTCATACATTCGAGTAATCATGTTTAATTATGGGCGTGGTCCGTGAAGTAAAGGGTGGACCATGAGATTTACCCGGAGCACATGCAGAATGGTGGCAAATAGATGCACAATCGCAAGTTAGCTTCCTATCGAAACTTTGGAGGCCTGTTCAGTGAGGCGGGAGAATGTGATGTCAAAGGCCTGGGGCAAGGTGTGAAGCATAACGCTTCTAGTGGCACGGATATGGTGAAAGTGATCGAGTGAAATCATTGAAGCAGAGAAATAAGGGACGAATCCTATGGTGAAGAGGGAGACTTTGATAGGACCTGGAGAAAGAGGATTATGGACTAACATTGCAGACTCGGATCAGCACTCCCAACGCAGTGGGAGCGATGAGGGAATCAGCGGGAATTGTGAATAGGTCTGACCAAATCCATTCAAAGGGCACACCAATACCAGGTTTAAATGGGCAAGAAAGTATGATAGTGAAGGGGCAGTGCGAGGATATAGGATAGGTGAAAATAGCAAGACAGGAGAGATATCACAAAGGTTTAGCATACAATTCATCAAAGTATTGACCCCACTTATCTTTTTTAACAGTGTAGTATAATGCTAATAGACAAGGCTTGCAGACGATGCCAGCTAAACGTATGAAAATGTACAGGGTCCACGGTCCGGCTCTAGAAATTATCATGTATACTATGGACTACGGAAAATGTGGGTTCATCTAGACATTCCTGAAAATATGACCAAGTTTTAAATACAAGGTCGAACAACTTCCATATAACGAAAGGTCATGGACATGCTAAAGGCCATACTATTTTGGTCTTCATAGATAAGATTTTTCATTAATGATGTGCAACGTCAGTAATAACTTTATTAGAAGAGGGTCAAATTCCAACTAAAGAGATAAAAAGTGTACAAATGGCAAAATGTCTGGGTTTTGCAAGGCTCATGTCGGGCAAGAAATTAAATAATAATTAGTTGTTAGACGAACACTTAAATTTACTCATAGAAACGACGTATTATCTCTCAACCCCTAGTATCTCGAAAATGAAAATAAATAAAGAATTATTGTGCCCACTTTTCGTTAAACAAAAAAATAAAAACTATTTTCAAGATGGCAATATTATGAAATTGTATAAGGGCGTTTCAAAAAATCAATTAAATATTGCCAAATGTTGGGGGAAAATAATTTAAATTCAGAAGATAGAAGTGGACAATAAGACGGCTTCAGATTATGCTAGAAAATGATATATAGTCAACCCCATTCGGAAAATGATAAGTATTTGCCTTACTGAGATGCTTGGTATGGCTCGTCACAAATGTAAAAACCACGCCGCTGAAATTGAATAATATCACCCTTCTTCAGAGATCGAAGACATGGCTCGGCAAGCAGGCAGGTTTCTTCCTGAATAATCCCAAATTAATAAAATAAAATAGTTAACAAAACTATATCTGGTTGCCGTCAAGACATGTAAGATTTGATAAAAAATATAATAATCGATAGCCAATAAATCTGGAACGGAAGAAAAAATAAACTCTAGTCTATAACAAAGAATGAGAAACTAGATTATATGACCCCTGAAAAAAACGTACTATATTTTTTATTTTTTTAATCACCTTAGAATTGTAATTAACAAACTTTTTGAAGTCCTCATCCTTTCCTATCAGAGCATTGGTTATAAGGTTGCCGTAGACAATGCAGGCAACAGGACAGAATAAACCGGCCCCGTCTGGCACGTTGGATGAGTCGGCCAACCAAGTAACCTTCTGTGTCTTCTTAAAGTCCTATAGAATCCAATAAATAGAAAAATAACTAAAAGATAAGCAAAAAATGTAAATTTAATAGTAAATACTATCGAGTCCATTGATTCTCGAAATTTCGTCTATTTCATAAATGCTGTGATATGCATATATATGTTTTTTTTAAATTTTAGTTAAGGAGCGTTTATAAAGAATTCTGAATAAGCATGCAAAAAAGAACTTGAAATATGGAATAAAGGGAAAAAATAGCCAAGAGAAAGTTTAAATGAGGATACCGTATCTTCCAATTTCAGTTGCGCTTCAACGGAAATAACAGCACCGCTATCAGAGGCCCGAAAAATCTTCGTGATCAACAGATTTCCCCAGTTAATAAAGGTGACACAATCACCTTCGACAAAACATGCAGCGTCATCGGCTTCCACAAAGACACGAGGGCCCAACCAAATTAACTTACTGCCGAGCTGAGACTCTTTTGGATGCAGAGGAACCTGGATTATGGGAGTTGAGATTAAATGGAGACATATTAGGGGGTTGATTACATTGTGTTTAGAGTAAGTCTAAGTCTAAATTCGCCGGTGCATGTTTGTCTGCTATTAGCAGGACTGAATAAGGAATGCGGAAGAGTAAATCGCAAATTAAAATTGTCATCTGAAAACGATGTAAAATGGTCTATCCTTTTGATAGCCAATTTCATCAACTTATTTGGCAAAGCGGTGCTCCCCATATTTATCCTTAGACTACGCCAATCATTCACAAAAACTTGATTCAGATCTAAAATATCAAAATGGCAAAAAACCCTAATAAAATTTTATGATCACTTAGCATAAGAAAAAAGCCTTAAGGTGTAAATATAGAATAGATCAAGTTAGAAACAATCGATGACCTTATTCTAATTGAAGGAATCCAACAATCCATTCTTTAAGCCTCTATATGTAATAAGCACTCACTCGAATCCAGAAATCTAGGGAAGCTGGATAAATTTAAAGCTGAATATTTGAGGTTAAGAGAAAATATGTACACAAAGCTCACCTCTTTTACTATCAATTCGTTTTGGCCATGCACACGTACAGGTACAAGGCCGATAGGATGAGTGCTTGATTTATTATAAGATTCGCTTGTTCCTAAGACCTGTCCTGAGGCGAGCTGGAGCGCAGTGTAG